TTCGATCTCATTTTGCTGAAGACATCGTGCCACCTAATCCTGTTGATAAATGTATCAAAATCTATCTCATAATATACAGCATGGAACAGCTCTGCGCAGCTGCCTTCCTCTTTGAAAGCTGACCTCAAAGGAGAAATCCTAATATGATGTTAACGCATAATCTTCCTTTGAAGCCTTTGGAGCCAACCACCTCTTTACAGTCAGCACTTCCATGTTCTTGCTTGCTTTATTTCTGCTGTAAACAGGGTGCAGAAGCTTTGGTGTTTGCCAATAGGCATTCCTCTTGCTCAGGGTCTCTGTGGAACATACCTCACACAGCCTGTCTAGCCTCCCAGCTAGAGACAAGCCCATGCCACGGGCTGCTACGCCATCGAGCTTGGGAGCATCTTCTCCGTAAATCTTCTCCCTCACCCTTGCACTCATCGACCAATGAATAAGCAATGCAACTGCTCCCTTCAAAACAAGCCCACAGACAAGCAGCTGAGCGCAACGGTCGTCCCTGGTTCATGTTGTAAAGGCTTTACGGAAAGGGAGAGAAAGATTTCAATGAAAAATCCTCTCAGTTGGAAAAGGCAGTTCTTATCTGCACTCCAGCAATTTCCAGCAAAATTTACGGTTTCTTTTATGTAGCAAATCCTCTGTAAAAATGATTATATATACAAACATAGAAAATTTCCAGGTCCCAGAGCACATAATAATATTTGCCACTTATAAAGCCTTTTTCATCTTCAAAGAACTCTGCAAGGACCAGCTAATGAATCCTCAAGTTATTCCTTTGAGGTTAAGTGATGTGCTCAAGGTCAAAACTTGAATCAGTCTCAGAGCCAGGATTAGATATGGGCAGATTTTTGCCTCTGTGTTCCCTGCTTAACCCATGACCTTCATACAAGCAATCACTTGCTGTACTTTAACACAAATTCAGATGTAGAAGCATAACAAATTCTTGAAGGGGAAAAAAAAAAGTTGGATGTTTCAGAAGTCATTTCTCACCTTTCCTCCAAATTATAACTACCCTCTGTGCTCTAAAAATAGCAGCCTGCTGTGTTTTGCAATTTGGGAAGAATGCTTTGCCCACCGGCTTCCCAAGATGAGTTGCTTTGTTTCTCAACAGCCTCTACCTTTTTCTTCAGTGAAGCCATCCCCAGGCCTACTTCCAGATGACGACCCAGTCATCGTCCTAGCCGGATGCCAGCCCTATTCCAACATTACCCCCTGCCCCGTTTTCCCCAGCATTAAGTGTGTTCACTTGCCCTCTGAACTATATGGAAAGAAGAAAGTCTTATCATAGAGACCCAAGCAGGATATAATTACATCGCTGAGCAGCACTTTTTGTTTGGGTCATGCAGCGAGTTAATTCAGAAAATCAATGCAGTATGCTTATCAGTACAAATTTAACAGGATACTTTCTTATCAGTGCAAATCTTGTCAAAGTGGATTATTTTTTTTTAGCATTAAAGCAAGGGGAGTGTAAATCAGTGTAAACCTGAGAGAGGTTTTACGCCCTCAACGCCTGGGGTTCATTGCAAAATAGCTCCAGTTGCACACTGAACTGTAAGCGTGTGGGTTTGCAGAGACTACACAGTGCAATTTGAGCTACACAAAGTCCTTAGGAAGTCCCAACCTGGCATGACCGGGGTGCTCCCTCGCTGAGGCTGCCCAGCGGGAGGGTGTCCCTGGGCCTCCCCTGTCCTGCCCGAGCAGCCCTGAAGAGCCGCACGTCCTTCCTCCATCTGTCTCCATCTGCCTCCAGCTCCGCTTCAGATGCACAGCGCCTGCAACCCCGGCACCCGTAGGAAAATCTATCCCAACAGCTCAGCAGTGCGTGACTCAGCCTAAATGAAAAACAAGATGGTTTTTCGTTGTAGCCGGTTCAGAGTCACTCTGATAACATGTGATTGTAATTTAGGTGGGTGGGGAGCAGGGGAGAGGGAAGGGGACATCTTGCAGACAGCTTGAAATGTCCTAAAAGTTTCTGAAATTGAGCCTGCAGCCTCTCTTTGGCTCTTGTGAACGTTACTCAGAGCCCAGCATGTATTTATGATCTGAGGCTTACATTGCCCAGTTGACTCACATCTTCCAGACAATGAAGAACCACAGCTACCTCAGTCTTCCCATGGTGCCCTCCACTGGCAGCTTCAAGCCGCTCAACGGACAATGAAATTAGTATTTTCAAATACCTGTAAGTCCAATAAAAGTCTTTTATCAGCCATGGTAGAAGTGTCCCAGAATAACAATAAGAATTTTGTGACCATCACTGCTATTCAGTAACAATAAAAAGACTGTGTGATACAAAGGACAGCAAGAATCCTGGGAAAGAGCAACCAGGTCTCAGGATTTTCCCTCTCTGCCCATCTAGTAGGATGTACTCATGCAACTTCTCACTTTTTCTCTGATTTAGTGAGTCTGAAATGCCCTTCTGCATAATCGGCCTCCTTCAAGAAAGGGGATTCACCCTTTCCTGGCACATGGGACATTCGGATTTCAGTCCCAGCCAGCAGGAAAGCATCAGGGTCCCCCACTTCCCAAGATGTTATTATCAAAGCACTATATCAAAGATGGCACAGACTAGCACTACCTCTCTCATAATTTTAAAGTTAAGTGGCAGCTGCTGCTCTATTTTGTGTGGGACCTGGTCCCCTGCCTTGCATTAGGCGTGCTTCAAAAATCGAGCCCCTGGGGTACGTTGGCTCAAATCTGAGCTAGGGCGGGAGGCAGAACTGTACTACTGGGACTGATGCAGCCCCAGAGGACACAGAGCCCCTGGCCCTGGTCTCATCATGATAGGCACTATGCAACCCAGGTGTTTCCAGCATCTGCAGTAGTCAGTTGGCATTTTTTGGATGTATTTCTGGATTTAAGTAGTTAAAGTCCTCCTAAGTCCTTCTTTAGACACTAAGTCCTTTACTGGATCTAACCCAAAGCGTATAAGTAGGAAAAATGTGAAGTTTCTGCTCTCTCCATAAAGATGTCTAGCTGTCTTTTAAATTCATTCCTGTTATTTGCTTCAATAGCTTCACCTAGCAATAATTTATTCCACATGCTTATTACTTTTTGATTGAAATAGCTGTGCCTGAATTCCCCTTTCACTCTTAATTTCCTAGTTTTTAGACTGAGTCTTTTGTTTTTCCAGACTTCTCATCAGACTGAAGTTTATCTCCTTCCAGTTGATCAAACCTTTTTGCAACTTTAATATTTCTTCAGGTCGTCTTTTCTCTGATTTTTCTGACAAGAATAAATGCTTCTCTTTTTAACAAATGTAGATTGTCTGCTTATTCTTCCATCTCCAGAAAGGCAGAAAGCTATGTGAGAAAGTAGCCATCTCAAAAGCCTGCATTTCAATCTTATGACTACCCTATTTACTAATAGCAACCGTGTTTTAGGGGTGAGAAATCAAACGTCCTATATGCCAATTCCCATCTTCCATTACTTTGACAGCTCTAGATTTTTTGAGCTGGCAGAGCAAGGTGTAGCTTTTTTCATGGTTGAAAGTGTACAAATAATCTCATGAATGACAGGGAATGACTTGGGAATAGTTTTTTACTCATTGCTTTTTTTTCTTTTTTCCTATTCACAATGCTGCAAAAAGATGCAGCATACGGCAAACCCCAAAAAGTTGTACATGGCTGTGTGTGCAGGAGTGTGTGTTTTGCTGATTTCAGAAAAGCCAGTGATAGTAACCATAGCTTGTAATGACTTAGCTATGAAGATGTGTAACGAGCTCAGAACAACAACTCATTGGATTTCTTTTTTTTTATTCAGTTTTACCTCTCACAGTGTTTTCCTGTTTCAGCAAGATATGTATTGCAACGTCAATGAAGGTTTTGGCCGAATGTCCCATGACACTTACAATACAGTTCCCAAGTCTTGAAGTTATTGTTTTAGCATCCTTGTGGAGTATGGCACACTTTGCTATGTTTTCTGAAGGTTTTTCTTTGCAGCCAGAATGATCCAAGGCATTGTTTGGGAGTGGCAGTTTGGTTTGGGGAACACATGCCTTGAAAAGGAGTAGATTCCCCAGTGAACTGCAAAGCTGTGGATGGAGATGTGGCTCCTGCCCGGCACTCATTGAACAACTACATAGCCCTTGGGCTGGGGAGCAAGAAAAGCATTTCAAACTGTTTTTGAGTGTGATATTTTGGTGACTCAAATCTCAGCTTGTAAGCCTGAACTGAACCTGCTCTGCAGAGACTGAAATCTGTCCCCATCACATTTGTGCAAGATATGTATTGTGGGCCACCTCTACTCCTCCCATCGCCTGACCCGGCAAGCAGGACTCTGGGAGACACCTGACCTGCAGTGGGGTTGGACATCGCTACTGGTACCCAGGGGACAAACAAGGGGAGAGGAAAGATAGGGGCATTGTGGGTCTATAAAGATTGCCCTGCTGCAGGCCAAAGGATAGTAAAGTGGTAACTTGGTTCTGTTGGACTGTCACAAGAAGACACTACACACACACTGCCTTCTCCAGATGTCCACAGGCAACCTAACAAATGTCAAAACTTCATCTCCACATGTCTGCTTTTCCTTACAAACAGTGACAGAGCTGGTGGAAGGGGAAACAGGTAGCTAAAGAAGGAAAGGAGATAGCCAAAATGGGTAACAAGGAAAGGAGGGTGACAACACATGCAACTGTCCCCACCTGTAGTGCCAGTCTTGGAAAAAGGAGAAGAAGGTGGCCAGAGGGAAACACACCAGCAAGTCTGACCCTCTGGCTCAAAAAGTTTGCCCATGTTTTAGAGGGGGAGGCTGGGACTGTCCTTGAGTGGTTTCCAGTTACAATCCTGCTACTAGTGGTGCACATACAACATATACTTTATTTTTTTCTATAGTATCTAGATCTAAAGATATTAATTAATATTAGCAACAGAGAAAAAATGAGTTTGATTTTCAATAGATATCTTATTCATTGTTTCTCATTAGTATCACTACATGTGGTAAGTCAGAGCAGTGTTTCTTTAAGCATCCAACATCTCCTTTAGTGGTACAGGAAGACCAGTGAAATTTTAATTAAATTTTTGGGGCTTGAGGATATAGATAAATTAAAAGGGGGGAAAGGATTTAAGTAAGGAGTGGTTTGCGATCCAAAACACTGTGGGTTTTGTCAGGGAATTACTCTCCAGAATATAATTCTGTTTATCTTAACTATTTATCAGTGTATCAAGGAGAGGAAAATAAGGTATTGTCACTGCCAGATATGGAAATGAGAGCCTGGTGACTGAGTTTGCATCTCAACACATTGCTAGTTTGTCCTTCAAAAGGGGAGCTACAACACAAAGAATTCAGTACATCCTGAAAGGACACTAACTTTGGAAACTTTTTGTAAGGCATTTTTCCAGGAGCACAGAAATCTTTGAAAAATGTAAGATATATTGGGGTGTGATATATATATGATTGGCTTAGCAAGAAAGAAAATATTTTATTTC